CTCTTCCAACCATTACTAATGCCTCTTAGAGATCATCTAGTTCAACTATCTCAATTTGTAGATGAGGAAATTGAGGCTCAGCTAAGACTAGAACCCAGATTCCTGTACTCCCAGTTTAATGTTCACGCCAGGAGTTCATTTTAAACACTTCCTCAGCCCAGAAGGCATGCAGCCACTCACCCAGACTGTGCACCTTTGTCTCTCTTCACTGGCTGGCTTCAAAACAAAAACCAGCATCTAACTTGAAGAACAAGGTCATTTGGAGCATCTCCAGCCACTTCCTTCCCCACTTAGATATGGTGCAATAGAGATAAAGTCAGCTGGGAACTTGCCTTTGGGTCCTTCCCCCAGGACCAAGCAAAGTGACTGCAGCCCAATTTCAGCTGTACTCTCTTTGAAGTTGTCCGCAGGACCTGGGAGACATCAGGGCACACTCATCATTGTGTTTTTCCCAAAGAGTTTTGGTCAGAAAAATATGCAGTAGCTTGGGATTTGGGTCTTTGTTGTCGTTGTGAAGGTGGGAAATGGGAGAAAGGAGAACAGAGAGAGGAAATGGAGCATGGAGCAAAGTATAGTTTTATCTAATTTCTTTCTCAAAGTGGTCTGAGACATCAAGGGAAGGGAGAGATCTAATACAGCTTAATTTTATTAAGGTTTTGGATTCTGTTCTACACACAACCTGACACTGGAAAATTTAATAGATCACCATCCACTCTTAAAATTGCATCCCGCTATTTGCTAGGAATGGTTGATCATGTATCTGGGTAAGATTTCCTTCATTTCTGTTTGTTTGCATTCCCCTTCCTCAACCTTTGAGAAATAAACTTTGTAATCAAAGTTTAGAGATGAAATTACTTAGAACGGCTTTTCATATCTACCCTTATACCTCTTTCAGAGACATTTTACAATATTCTTTCAAAGTATAAAATATATAGAAAGCTATTGATAGCTGTCACAGAAAAATAATTGGTTCCAAGATGGAAGAGTGCAAGGCCTTAGGGGTAGTTATGTTGCTATATTGTCATTATTCAGATTCTAATGAAGATAGTGTGGCATCAAGTGTTAGAGGGGGAAGAGAGTAGTGCCGGGAGGGACACTGCATCCTAGTAAAGGACCACTTAGAAAACAGAGAGAAGAATGAATGTAACTTGTCATCCCATTGCCCTACAGGGGAGAATTTTCAGAAAAGTGTAAGGTTTTCTGGAAACTTGTTAGAAACTTAGAGTCTAAAAACTTTGAAGCAGGGACACGTCAAGCAGGCTCCCAGGATGTGGACATGTCCCAAGACTTCAGAATTTGAAATAATTTTATGAATTGAGAC